CTTCAGTCTTGACAGTGACCTTCCCTGATTCTTTGCTTTGGATTGTCCCTTTCACAAAGGATTCCTTAGCATGTACCACAAAGACGGATGTCTTGGCATCGAAAGGCTTGTTCTGGGCCTCGATTCTCTCCTTTTCTGACTTTCGGAGGTAAGGGGCCGCCTCCCCAAAGGCAGCCATCTCAGCGTCTGGAGAGGCCATTGTTGCACTTATACAGGAGGCACAGTCAGCAGAGTACTCTGTAAGAAAAAGATTTGTTGAGTCAGTGAGTGAACAGCTTTATGTGGAAGAGTGGAAATCTCTTGAACTTTGATCTCTTCAGATATTTAAGTAGATATAAAGAAATCAAAAGTTGGATTTAAACTTTCCAGTCCTGGCTGAAAATACTTGTTTGTTTTTCTGAAATATATCCGTAGACATCCAGCTATGTAACAAAACAAAGTATAGAACAGTTCTTTATTACTGCAGTATTGTAGTACAGTTTAGCAGTATTCAGCTTTGTGGACTCTATTGAATATGGACATCGTCATAGCAGAAACTTCATATTAAATAATTCTCTGATTTTTTTTTAAAGCACTACTGACGAGTGCCTGAGAGACTTCCTAGTGGCTTTTCACTGGAAAATTTACTTACTATGGACAACTCATCTTGCAGTATGCCAGATACAAATGTCACAGTATCACAGAATCACAGAATAGTAGGGGTTGGAAGGGACCTCTGTGGGTCATCTAGTCCAACCCTCCTGCCGAAGCAGGGTCACCTACAGCAGGCTGCACAGGACCTTGTCCAGGCGGGTCTTGAATATCTCCAGAGAAGGAGACTCCACAACCTCCCTGGGCAGCCTGTTCCAGTGCTCCGTCACCCTCAGAGGGAAGAAGTTCTTCCTCATGTTCAGACGGAACTTCCTGTGCCTCAGTTTGTGCCCATTGCCCCTTGTCCTGTCACTGGGCACCACTGAAAAGAGCTTGGCCCCATCCTGCTTACACCCACCCTGCAGATATTTGTAAGCATTTATAAGGTCCCCTCGCAGCCTTCTCTTCTTCAGGCTGAACAAGCCCAGTTCCCTCAACCTCTCCTCGTAGGGCAGATGTTCCAGTCCCCTCATCATCCTCGTAGCCCTCCGCTGGAGTCTCTCCAGTAGCTCTTCATCTTTCTTGAACTGATGAAGAGCAGTTCACGTCACTATTGCCTGTTCTGATTTCTAGAAATCTTTAACTGTTGGATTTCTTCCTGTTCCTTAAAAGTTGATAAATTTTGCTGTTAATTCTTAAGGCAAAGGCTGGAAAGCAGTCACTGTGGTTTGAAATATATGGCAAATCATTTTGTGTTGCACAGATATCCAGAGCTAATATAGAATCATAGAATCATAAAATCATAGAATAATCTGAAGGAAAAAATGCTGCCTTCAAACCTAGAATAAAATCACTGGTGATAGAGACAGTCCATGGTAGAAATGCATATACAAGGCCTATAGGAAGTTAAATGGAGTAAAAAGGTACATGCTATGCCCAGAAGTTCACAGGGGCCATACACTTACCTCGAAATTTTCTGTCAAGACTGGGCACAGTACTCCAAAGAGACTTTTATAGAGTCTGGTATGCAGATGCTCTGGATGTTTCCTTTTCCTTCAGTCAAAATATATTTTGGCAACACATCTTTGGCAAAACATTGTCTGGCAAACTTATCTAACGGCATAATTGTCATTTGATTTGACTAGATATACTTAGAAACATTTTACGTCTTACCATTCCTGTGGATACATTTCCTATAAATAGTCTGACAGGGCTATTAATAAGGAAATCTTGACTAATCAAGGTGTTTAAAGAACCTTGGATGTAGAATTCATAGGTTCCTCTACTGTCTCTACTGACAACTTCATCTTTAACCCAGGCGAGATTTTTTGGCATTTCTGTACTGCAACTATGCCAGACATAAAATGGGAATAATACAATGTATCTTGTCCACATAGTCCTCGGAATTCAGGGATTACCTGAACAGCATTAGAAAAGACAATTCTACAAAAGACAAATCATGACAAAGTATCATTCAACAATTAATTATATGTTATATTGAAAAGGGGAAAACCAGGCACATATTGTGGGCCACGACTTTGACTAAAATATCACTAAATACAGAGGGAATCCAAGACACAGCAAGTCAGAATACAAGTTCAAGTTTGGACATGCAATTCGTGCCTAGAATGTGAAAGGTGACTCCTTAGCTATAAAAAGAAATAAATATCTATGTGAGCAAATAGGCACTTGGTATTTTGCAGAAATTGAAAAATTAAAAATGCACATTCCAGAGGAATATTCACTGTTGCTGTAGTCAGTCAGAACTGATACTAGAGAAAAGTCTCATCTAGTCTTAAACAAACAAATTACACATGGTACCTCATACCACAAAGAAGAAATTATACTGCTTTTTTCAAAACATTTCTGGTTTTAAAAGATTCAATGCCTTTCTTACAGAGCTGATCTAGAAGAAATGTGTAACATTTAATGACTACCACTATAATTAATAGGGAACATGTTCATAGTCAAAGTAATTCCTGTCTTTCAACTTTTATGAAAGATACTCAAAGGGTTAAGAGAAAGAAACTTGCAAAAGTAACCTAGGACAGGAAATTCCTTCAACGTCAAATAAACGCATACTGAATAAATACACAGTGATACTTCCCATGTCCCCTCACACAAACAAAAATTGTTAACATGCCATAAAGAGCTTAAGTCTGTGTCTCCAATATGCATATGTCCATTGTCAACATATATCAAGCAACGTCCTCAACCAAGTCAGGAAGTAGTCGATAGTCCTGGAGAGTGACTGATCTGGTTCTAGGAAAAGGGCACTGTCACTTGAGCTGCTTTAAACACTGTCAGATCTAAACACGCTCTTCTCCTGGTCGTTGGCATTTTGGTTATTAAAAGAGCTCAGTGGATAAAGCTCGGTGAATAACACAGGGGCAAGGTCAGAAAAATGATGCCTGCGATCCAAGGTAATATTCAGTGTCAAGCACTGGCCTGTGTGTGAAGAGTTTGTTCCAAGGAGGGCTCTGGCACTGCCAGCACCTGTTTTTTTGGAGTTCAAACCCCAAAGCTCAGCCCTGGGTTCCCTGCATAGGGAGGTTGATGGAAACACCCTGTGTCATGCCCAGATGGAGCCCAGAAACAACCAGTGGGAAATGATGAGCGCAGGGGTGCATCTGAAGTCCTGCCTCTCTGGGCAGTCTCTGACTGCCATGGACATGTAGAAGCCAGAGGACAGAATCATAGAATGATAGAATGATTTGGGCTGGAAGGGACCTTCAAAGATCGTCTAGTGCAACACCCCTGCTGTGGGCAGGGATATCTTTGACTAGGTCAGGTTGCTCAAAGACGCATCCAACCTGAGCTTGAACACTTTCAATGATGGAAGACTCCACCTTTCTTATAAGCCTCCTTTATATATTAAAAGGCTGCAATGTGGTGTGCTCAGAGCCTGCTTGTCTCCATGCTGAACAGGCTCAACTCTCTCAGCCTTTCTTCATAGGAGAGGT